CTGGATTCAGACTGAGGCGGCCCACAAAAACATGACCGAGTCTTTTTATTTTCACACTTTGCCTGCTGATAGGCCCTCCACAGCCCCAAATGTACACAATCAAATTATTAAAAACTTGGTTTTGCATAATATGTCCCCTTTAATGCAAAGCAGGAGACGTTTGAGTGGAACTAAATCAGATTTAGCAGAAGTCCAGAGGTCCTGCAGAGTCAAAAACCAGCTGGGGGGACATCAAGGGAGCATAAGATCTAATTAATTGCATTACTTGCTGGTTTTCTATCTAAGTTGTCTAGTGTGTTTAGATGAGTTTCTTCTTTTCTCTACGGCAACATGCTCTTTTGCACGTGTGTGATGCTTCAGGTTTGCTGGATTTCGGGCGTCTGGAGGGGAGAATGAGAGGGTTTTTCCTCCTTAGTCAAAGTAATAGTTCTGCACAAACACGGCCGTGGAGCCTCGGTAGACGGGGGAGAAGTTGTAAATGAGGGCTCTGTCTTCCTCAGCTGGACTGGAAAAGCGGTGCTGGTTCTTCATGGCTGAGGATAGAAAGACATCTACTGGTTAGACTTCACCCAAAATGAAGTAAATATATCCAATCCAATCCAATCCACCTTTATTTATATAGCACAATTTAAACAAACACAGGGTTTTCCAAAGTGCTGCACAAAAACATATCAAAGAAAAATAAATAACACAGTAGAAATTCAGCTAAAAGTTTAAAAAAATATGCATGAGTATACATACATACATATATATGTATATAATACAGTAAATATCTGCTTCTGTGTTTCAATCAGGGCAGTTTCCGGACAGTTCTCCTAATAAAAAGACACTATCAGTGGGTTTTGAAGACTTTTCAGTATGTTTTGGGGACTTTTTGTAACTTTAAACCCATCAACTCATTTTTAATCAAACATTTTAAATGTATAATCATAATATTAGAGCCCTGATTCAATCTCAGAGACGTTTTCTATCACAGAAATTAGTTTTTCCATTGTCTTTTGTACTAAAAGAACTTTAATAAAAATATTCTCATCTCAAGAGACATTTTCAAAAAATTCAAATATTTATTTTGTTTGACTTTTGCTTATAGATAATTTCGCTATTCGTTTCTGTAATTTGGGACTAATGTCAGTACAAAGAAAAGAAAGTCACCTTAGAAATGAGTGAGGACTCAACTTTTCTAGGGTCTTTAAATGCTTTTTTTCCCTTCGATAAAAACCTACAGTGACCCAAAACTTCAAACTTTGTAGTTTATTTATCACAAAGATCCAAAATCTTGAGAAAAACAGCCTGAGAGGAGTCAGAGGAGTCGGGTTTTGCGGTTTTACCCTCGGAGACGAAGAAGCTGGCGGTGTGGAAGCTGGCCCTCACGGCGCTGCCTGTGTGGACCATCCCCGGCTTCTGGATCCACTCGAAGGGGCTTTTCTCCGGGTGCCACTGCACGGCGTAGAACGGGTATCTGTAGGCTGGGGGGGAAACACGCACAGATCGGACTCATTCCAGACAAAAAGATTAATCTTTGTGGTAAATGTGAAGAAAAACTGAGAGAAAACCACCTGGCGAATTTGGCAAAGGCGCCCTCTAGTGGCCAGATTTGAAAGCTGAAACAGCTATCTATCTATCTATCTATCTATCTATCTATCTATCTATCTATCTATCTATCTATCTATCTATCTATCTATCTATCTATCTATCTATATATATATGTGTAT